GGTAAATACATTCAAGGTTAAAGAAACAGTTGCACCTAATGAGACCACTGCCAGAGTGTGTGGCATTCCTAATTAATGGATAGTTTTATATGAAATAAATTATAATTTTAAGTTTTCACAATGTTGTTACATTGCAGGTTTGCTCATTTAAAACCTTCTTTTGCTGTTCATATTACATTATAGTGACATATCCTTTTAAAATAACCACCCAATGAAAAGGCGTCATTTCATATGACTGTAAACAACAATGGATGCCTCCACGGTCTGTTTACTTAAGTACAAAACTTAACTGATTTTGGATTTTTAACAAACATAAAAATGGTTTGCAGTGATAAACAACATGCCATAGTAACTTTATATTGTATATTATTTAATGATCAAGTTCAATATAAAAAAATGCATTAGTTAAACTGCTTAAGGGCGTCAAAACTAATGACTCTAGGATATTTACCTCAAACTCCAGCCAAGCAATATAAATTAAATTTAACTAGGGCCATGTGCAACTATATTGTTAACAACAAAAATGCAAGAAACAAATGCTTTTTAACATCTAGGGTTCAAATAATAAACAATGTGGTAAAATTGGCTTCTTGAAAATACCAATAATTCACAAAAACATTATCAATTTCCTACTGAAAAAATATACAGAGTTGTTAGCAATTACTGATAAGTGAGACTTTGATTAACACATTCCAAGCATTTTTAAGATTATTTTTACATCAATTTGTAGAATAATACCTCTTTTAAATAAGTTTACATTTTAAAATTAGATAAACTTACCAGCAGAAAAATGACATTTTATTACGTTAAATATATCTGGTAAAATCAACAGCCAAAATATTTTCAATATGTTTGTCCAGGATGGGGAAAAAAAATATTTCAAAAATTAAAAAAAACAAAAAAACAATACTTCCCTTAAAGTGACATTATGCTCATATTTTCATAGTCAAGTTTAGCTGAATTTTCTTTATATTTCTAAAGATTGACTGTCAAAATGGTGTTTGACCAACAGTTGATATTGGAAAATGTTTAGGATAAAATTATTAATCTACCTAAAATTTAAAAAGACTGCCCCACTCTTTTTATAAACTAAGCATTATACGTAAATTCTAACGGATATTTACAGAAATTTCATTTGGATCTGTGTGTTATCTAATGTTTATGTGAACTTAATTATTAAATTGAAAGGGATTATGGCAAAATGAAAACCTATATTGATCTTCACCCGTTCACTCACTATATACCTTTGGATGGGCATAATGCCACTTTAATTGCAATCATTAAATAAATGCATTAAACAATGGCCTCACAAATTATTTTAATCATCATGCGAGCATATAAACTATGAGTATTGAGACTTTTGCACAACTCCTGAATTAAAAAAAATCATGTTCTGCTAACACTTTTACCACAAGCTCTTTCTATGCTAATTCCAAATTGTACCGTCAGAATGTTCAGCAAAAAAAAAAAATGTTACTAGCATACAATAAAATAAAGCAAACACTTAAGTTATTAGATGTCTTACTAACATTACTTAAAAATCTGAATTCACAGGGATGGTCTAATCTACTTTGTGTTTAAAGCTATCCGTACAGTTGTAAAATTACACTTCTAAATCTAATGGGTTTAATCAATGCCAGTTAATATTTTCTATAACACCTGATGTTAGTAAATGTTTTCCTTATCTGATCAGCAGGTAATAAAAACTTCTTCAAAAGAAATTGCTTTGCTAGAACAGTGGGTACTTGACCTTCATATGAATGAGTTTTTTCTCCTTGTGTACAACAATGACCTTAACTTATTTCACATACAAGTTGAAAGGAAAAAGTAGTCAAAATACCTAGACATTATTCTAGAAACAAGTTTACACACACAAAAAGTTTAAAAACTTATGCATAAATTATAAAGCAAAGGAAATTAAATGATCTTAAATCTAATTACAAAAAAGAATTTTGAGAAACAATTTTTCAAGAAACTTTTCAACAGTCACACCTTGGACACACAGATAAAAAAGTTTCAAACAAAGCACACATATTGATAAATCAGTACCGGTTTTGATTTCTGAATAAATAGTTGAGCAGAACTGAAAATAAAACTATTTACAAACAAAAAAACAAAAAACAACAAAATAATAAAAACCTGCATTGTGTCAATAGCAGAAGTTCTATTAAGCATTATGGTATATATATTTTGACACAGATCTATCAAAGCAAAAAATTCTTGATAAACTGCAAAGCAGGCAATTTTGCTTATATACAATTATAAAATCTAAAGACAAATCAATGAAAAAGCTTCGCAAAAGATGAATTTTGATTACAAGAAAAAAATGCAGCTAAAATATACTCCAAGAAGCATTTACAATAAGAACTCTTCTGATGACCCTTTGAGGTAACTAACAACAGTTTGGAATCATAACACAAATTATGTCTAAAATGACATGTTCTTTCACATACCCATGTTGCTTTTGCAACTCTGTAAAAACAGTATTTCACCACCATAGATTTTTTTTGTCGTGTTGTCATTTGCGTTGTGCATATAACATAACGTAAAGACTCGCTAAATATTATTATTACACTATAGGCACGTCAATGAAAAAGTCAATGGAATTTTTTTTTTAACAGTAAACAGTTCTTATTTTGAATATATGATAAATAGAATATTATATTCGTGTTGGTTCATTACTAAATTTATTGAACTCATTGAATAAACTAATAATATAATCAACTTGTTCAATAAATTCAATACTGAACCTACACTCATTTAATATCCCTCTATTTAAGACGTAACAAGCTTAAACTTCACACTTCTGGCTGAAAGAATTCATGTGACATGTGCATACCAACATCAGCTGGCACATCTAAGCCATCAATCACGGTCTGCATGGTATTCAGTCGGTTCTAATTTCGAAATATTCCCTGAAAATTATGAATGGTATTGTCCAGATTTAAAGATGGGCAAGTCCATTTAAGATACTTAGTGTGGTAAGGATAAAGTAACAGAAGAGTATCATTCATATATGCAAATGATTATACAAGTTATATGAGTTTTCTATGCTAACATATTGAGGTGTCATTACATATATCTTTCTATCTTGGCAAGCAAATAAATCTTTATATTCAATATTCATGTATAATATACCCACATTTTAATATACCTGAGACTCCTTATCAAAAGGTTGCGCTGATTAAGAATTTTGTAAACACATAGTTCTTTCACTTCCCATCTACAATTATCTCCCTTTCTATTCACAATTTCAATAATTTTTGTAAAATGTTTAATGCTTTAACATACAAATTCTGTGTTTATATCAACTTTTACATCATTTCCGTATCCAATATAATACAGTTTTATAATCTAAATTTCATTTCCTTATCATCAACAAAGAACATTCTAATTCCTTCCTTTCAAAGTAATAAGTATAATTTTTAAAATTTGAAATCCATGAATAAATGAAATTTTTTTTTATTTCCTTAATACAGATATTTAAAATTGTTAATATGTAAGATATGACAAAAATGTTAGATATTGCAGATTATTAACAATTAGTATCAAAAGACAATAATTCTAAATGAACAAGTGACTGGTGAATCAAAACAGACTATTGATATTGTAATACAAAATCATGTAACTTCCATGATTTGCTTGTGTGTAATTTCCATGACTTGTAGATTTTAACTGCCATGACATGATGAATAATAAAAAAAAACTATTAAAACAAGATTGCATTTGAGAAAAATGCTATGCCACCGCATTAATACAACACTAAATAGTAGTGTAGGAACAGATTTTTTTTTGTTTCTATGCAATTGAAGATTGTCATAATGCATAGATCCCTGACCTATCTAATTCTTATTATCAGATTAGTGGTTAAATCTATTGTTAATCCAATAAAAGATCAGTGTAGGAATATATCAATGCACTTGAGTCTGGTGAATTTGGTGGTGAAGGTCATATTTCACACAGCCTATTAATTTCATGACTACATCAAAGGACAACACAGTTAGACACTTTGTCAAAATCTAGGTCAGCTGATATCACTACACAATGTTTCATGCAAAATATCTAACCTCTAGCATTTGTCAATTGCTAGAAATTTTTTTTTTAAAGTTTTTACTATAAGTTTTTACTATATACATATAAGGAAAACCAATGACCCCCGGGACGGGGCCGATTTTGACCCCAGGGCTATAATTTGAAAAATCTGGGTAGAGGTCTACCATACAATGCCTTATGCAAAATATCTAAGCTCTAGGCCTTTTGGGTCTTTACAAGAAGGTATTTTAAGTTTTTACTATATGTACATATAGTGAAAATCAATGACCCCCGGGGCGGGGCCGATTTTGACCCCAGGGCTATCATTTGAACAATCTTGGTAAGGGTCTACCAGACAATGCCTTATGCAAAATATCTAAGCTCTAGGCCTTTTGGGTATTTACATGAAGGTATTTTAAGTTTTTACTATATGTACATATAGTTAAAATCAATGACCCCGGGGCGGGGCCGATTTTGACCCCAGGGCTATAATTTGAACAATATTGGTAGAGGTCTACCAGACAATGCTTTATGCAAAATATCTAAGCTCTAGGCCTTTTGGGTCTTTACAAGAAGATTTTTTAAATTTATTCTTATAATCCCTTTTGGTTGCCATGGCAACCAGATTTCTGCATGGAATGAAATTCTTTGAACAACTTTGGAAGCCCTTCACCCAAGGATCAATCCTGCCAAGTTTGGTTGAAATTGGACTAGTGGTTTTTCACAAGAAGATTTTTGAAGTTCACTATATATAACCTATATAACACACACACACACAAACAAACACACACACAGGTGAATCGCTATATGCCACCGCATCGCAGATGCTGCGGTGGCATAAAAAGCAGATCATAAAGCAATTTTAACATATTATTTCTATTATTTTTTGTGTTTTCAGTAAATTCCATGATTTAATTAAACTTAAAAAAAGAACACTGTTTAGACATATTATACACACAATTTCCATATTATTTTTTTTCAGAAACAGGCTATAGAGAACTTTATATCCACACTATGTTGATTTTAAAAACAGACTATATTATGTTAATGAAAGGCTCTGTAGAGAGTTGATGTTATTGAATTTTGATTTCTTGAGCTGGCGGAACCTCGCCCATTTCCTGCATCACCTTCTCATTTGTTTCCTTCTGCATTTTACCTTCATATGAACGTATATCTTCTAATGACATGTCTGAAAACAATTCATCACAGAATTACAGAAACCTATATCAAACTGAATTAGAATTCAGATTACATTTTTGTACACTCATTCTTTTTGAAACCTCATGAACAATTGATTATTTAAATTAAACACAAAAGCAATCAATGATCACATCTGTTGCCTGATGATAGCCAATTGCATGCTGCAGCTATTGTTTTGCAGGAGATACAAAATTCATTAACAGGCCAGAACAGTTGTTATTCAAGAGCCATAACTCAGGCCAAAATGATTCAACCAGAAAACCTGTTTTATATGCACAAGAACTTGATAATTCCTGTAAAGTTTGGATGGAATTGCACCAGTAGTTGCTGAGGGGTAGACAGGACAAGTTATGTGACGGACAGACAGACATCAGAAAAGTGATGACTATAGTATATGTCACCGCTACTTAGTAGCTGGCAACACAAAAATTCATTCCTGATGTAATTTCATTATATATTCTTGATGGAGCTTTAAACACTCTCTAATTATTTTTTTTTTATCAAAATGCAACTATAATAAGAATGTTTACAGTTACAAGTACAGGTAATATACGTAAACAGACTAAGTGGTCTTTACACAGGTCTTAAGTAAGTAATTTTTACAATATTATTGTTCAAATGGAAATTACAGAATGGTTGTACTAAGGTGGTGTTATGATGAAGTTTTAAAATTACAATCTTACCTATCCACTGATCTAACCAGGAAATTGCTTGTCTATGACCTAGAAGATTTATGTCTCTACATGCCTAGAAAACAAACAACATTCATTCACTTAGTCAAACATTAACAAACAGTCTACTGATTCACATGTCTCCATGTGTTTGGAGACAGCTTTAATACAAATATACCATATTGTTAATTTTGTATTCTTGTACACTTGTTATCAATCAATTTAGATATACTACAGAATAAAATAAAAAGCAAGGACAAAATAGTGCATTTCTTTACCAAAATTTTTATTTTATACATAATCTTAAAACTCTGACACTGATGAATTAGGGCAGTAGTATAGCAATATTACTGCACAGGAAATCTGATTCACATTATTTTGACATTTATATAATCTATATACAAGGCTGTTGTCAATTTACTTAGAAATTTTTGATATTCCTCAAATCCAGTTATAAATTTGTGACATGTTATTTGGCCATGTATATATGAGCGGCATCACTACAAAACCAACATAATGGGTTTGCGACCGGCATGGATTCAGACCAGCCTGCGCATCCGCGCAGTCTGATCAGGATCCATTCTGTTCGCTTACAATCCCTATAACAAGTAGAGAAACTGATAGCGAACACTCTGCATGGATCCTGATCAGACTGCGCGGATGCGCAGGCTGGTCTGGATCCATGCTGGTCGCAAACGCACTATGTTGGTTTTGTCGTGACACGGCTCATATAGTGGTTTGCAATATTACCCAAGTTGCAGCTTACATCCATTCATACTCAGCCATATAACCCATCAAACATTTTTTATAGATAAAAATATAACAAACAACTTCGAAAGATATTCACTAATTCTCTATTATCTTTAAGAATGAAAAAAATGACAATTACCTTTTGTGCATATCCTTCAACTTTTGTTTGTAAACCCCATACTTCAAAACAACAACGTACAACCTTGTATGAACACATAATTGGTTTTGTGGTATCCTGGAACATACACATGTATATTTAAAAATCACATACTACTTATTATTTTTTTGTAATTTTGTTTTGATTTAAATCCTGAAAAATATATAACAGTTTTACAATAAAACAAAATCCATACATTTGATAGTTGATTAGAAATGAAGTTGCACTGAAACCTTTAAAACGTGTTATGCCATCATTGTAGCTGTGATGAATAGAAAGTCAAGCTAATGAAAATTGTTCAACGAATAAAGAATCCTCTTCAATGGTCTTTTTTTTAAATCAATTAAAATATTTTGATACATTGAATAAAATAAAATAAAAAACACTTTAAAAACTGATTTTTTATTTGTTCAAAATAAAAGGATGGAAGATATAAGATACTATAATGTCTTACCCTCCAATCTTTAGAGAATGGTCCTCTACCTGTTTTATTTGATTTGACTTTTGTGAGATCCTGAAATAAAAGAAATTACAGCCTTACGTGATTCACACATGCTTTTCAACAAAACAAATCTAATTTTCATTAAGTCATGTTAATATAGACATGTTGCTGTATCAAGATAAATGTCTAGATTTTCTCACATTAAACAAGTATTTCATATTTAAATTAAACAATTAAAGATCATTTTCAGGAAAAGTGAACATTTATAAAATCCTTACCAAAAAAGTATCAATTAACATAAAGCTGTAAGAGGAGACAATCGAAAGCAGGGGTGGACAGGAGAGCTCTCCATATACTTTATATAGTCCAGCCAAAATGTACACTAAAAAATTTACATGTTACAAACCTCTGACTCTTTATATTTACTTTCATCTATTGGATCATTTACTATATCTACAAAATCTACTTCTCGAACTCCTAATTCTTCTTCTGTTAAATCTAAACACTGATAGACAAAAACAGAAAAACCATAAGAAAAAAAAATCAAATCTGGAAATCATAAAACATGAAACAACTTTCTCGGTTATTTTCAATGCTTGTTAGTGTAACAAAAATCATAATTTAGATATTTTCTATTTTAAAAAAGGAAATAATACTGTAAACATCCGTAATTGATTTTCAGCATTTCAGTCAAATAATTCAGGGGAAAACTAGATTTGTTTGAAGTAAAAGTAAATATTTAGTGAATATCTTGTGTGGTTCATGAAAAATGAAGTTTTACACAAAACTCTAATCAAGAGTTATTCAAGCGCAGATGGCAGCTTGCCTAACGTTGGTCTCATTTTTTACTGTGATAGTTCAACTAAAAATGTCTATTACCTTTACAGTAGTTTAAACTATAATTCCAGCTGTACTGGTGGAGGAAGACCCTAGATTTTCTAAATCAAATGTGCATTATTTCAGGCAAATGAGCATACGACTTGTGTCATGACAAAACCAACATAATGGGTTTGCGACCAGCATGGATCCAGACCAGCCTGATCAGGATCCATGCTGTTCGCTGTCAGTTTCTCCACTTGTAATAGAGTTGATAAGCGAACAGCATGGATCCTGATCAGACTGCGCGGATGTGCAGGCTGGTCTGGATCCATGCTGGTCGCAAACCCATTATGTTGGTTTTGTCATGACGCGGCTCATATGACTTGTTTATGGTTATTCAGTTATTTTCAGCATCTACTTTTTGTCAAGTTAAATAAACAATTCCAACAATCATACTACTCACATTTTCTGTGGACCCATTATTATTTTCATATCTTGTTGTAATATTGACAACAAATCTGGGAATGAATGAACACTGAAAATATATATACATGAACGATGAAAAGAGGACAAACATTTAAACAGTATAAAAAAGTCTTAACATGAACATTCAGTGTCATTAGAAAATGATCAAGCAATAAAATACATAACTTATGAAGCAATATGGTAGCATATATTCAAAGCACCTGCAATAAAGCTAACTTATTACACCTACCAATTAAGGCTATGTGAGTTTGTAAAACAAATGGAAATGAACCTGCATTTCTATTCGGAAATTAAGTTTGTGCTGTTACATGTTGTTGGACAATAAACATATCAACATGTATGAAGTAAAGCAAACATAAGCTTAGTATCTAGGCTCCTAACAAGTCCCTAATTTTTGTTTAAGAAAAGCCAAACACTTCATTTTGAGTCCACTTCACAGATTTAACAAGTCCTGCTATCGTGTGCAAAACAGAAATGGTTGGGACCCAACAACATCTTAAAAAGTAAGCCCATGAGCCCTAGACAGAAAAACTAACATAACTGTTTCATATTCCACCCTAAACAGCATTTGAAATACAATTATATATAAAATATAAATATACTTACAGTATATTCTGTATGGTGGGGTATACATCACATGCAAAGGAAAACATATGAAATATATTAATGTAAATAAATGTAAAAAATATTATCAATATTTAAACAAGAACCGGTTGAACCGGGTGATGCTCCCCGAGAAGGTTCTGGACACAGGAAAGTATAAAAAAAATGAACAAAGGGCAATAACTCCAAAATTACACCAGGCTTTGTTTAGGTTCTTGAAGCGTTGCAGTTCTATCCAATTATATCTAGCTACCTACAAAGTTTCATGTTGATATCTCTAATAGTTTTAAAGTAATGTCCAGGACAAAAGTCAAAAAGTAAAAATAAACAAAGGGCAATTACTTAATAAATAAGGCAAGGCAGAGTAATGATTCTTAAGCACTGCACTTCCTACCAATGAGACCTATCTATCTACAAAGTTTCATGTTGATATCTCTTATAATTTTAGAATAATGTCCCAGACAAAGTTCAAAGTGTCAAAATGAACAAAGGGCAATAACTACAAAAGAAGGCAAGACAGTGTTACAGTTCTTGTGCACTGCAAACTTACTCAATGAGATCTATCTACCTACAAAGTTTCATGTTGATATCTCTTATACATTAAGAAATATGTCCTGGACAAAGTTCAAAGTGTAAAAAATAAACAAAGGGGGATAATTCAAAAATTAGGCAAGGCAGAGTTAAGGTTCTTGTTCACTGCACACCTACTCAATGAGATCTATATACCTACAAAGTTTCATGTTGATACCTCTTATACTTTTAGTGTTATGTCCCGGACAAAGTTCAAAGTGTAAAATAAACAAAGGGGGATAATTCAAAAATTAGACAAGGCAGAGTTACGGTTCTTGTGCACTGCATACCTACTCAATGAGAACTATCTACCTACAAAGTTTCATGTTGATACCTCTTATACTTTTAGAGTTATGTCCCGGACAAATTTCAAAGTGTAAAATAAACAAAGGGGGATAATTCAAAAATTCGGCAAGGCAGAGTTACAGTTCTTGTGCACTGCACACCTACTCAATGAGATCTATCTACCTACAAAGTTTCATGTTGATACCTCTTATACTTTTAGAGTTATGTCCTGGACAAAGTACAAAGTGTTCAATTGAAAAAGGGCAATAACTCCAAAGTTAGGCAAGACCGAGTTACAGTTCTTTTGCACTGCACTTCTACTCAATGAAATCTATCTACCTACATAGTTTTCATGTTGATACCTCTTATACTTTTAGAGTTATGTCCTGGACAAATTTCAAAGTGTAAAATAAACAAAGGGGGGTAATTCAAAAATTAGGCAAGGCAGAGTTACGGTTCTTGTGCACTGCACACCTACTCAATGAGATCTATCTACCTACAAATTTTCATGTTGATACCTCTTATTCTTTTAGAGTTATGTCCCGGACAAAGTTCAAAGTGTAAAAATAAACAAAGGGGGATAATTCAAAATTAGGCAAGGCAGAGTTACGGTTCTTGTGCACTGCACTTCTACTCAATGAGATCTATCTACCTACAAAGTTTCATGTTGATACCTCTTATACTTTTAGAGTTATGTCCCGGACAAAGTTCAAAGTGTAAAAATAAACAAAGGGGAATAATTCAAAAATTAGGCACGGCAGAGTTGCGGTTCTTGTGCACTGCACACCTACTCAATGAGATCTATCTACCTACAAAGTTTCATGTTGATACCTCTTGTTGTTTCAAAGTTATGTCCCGGACAAGAAAAGGGGACGGACGGACGGACGGAAAGACGGACGGACGGACCGACAAGGCGGCGACTATATGCTCCCCCAAAATTTTTTCGGGGACCATAAAAACTATACTATTGGTACTATTCCATTCCATCTACACATGCTTTGAGTTAAAGCTTATGAAAAATATAAATATTTGCAATTTAGGCATGTACATATATATAATATTCATTACAAATTAATATTTTCCATTGCAAATAAAGTTAGTAAAATGAAGTTAACTAAGCATGTTTAAATGATTAATCAGTAAGATTTCAGTGTTTAGCAAATTCAAACTTTTCTTTTGAGATAAAGCAAAAACATAAATTATAATAATTATGCTCATGCTATTTTTTTTTTCAAAAAAAAAGAAAAAGAGACGGCTGAAGTTGTTTTTTATTAGTAAAATTGCACATTTACTCACTCAATAACTAAATCAAGTAAAAGTCATAAAAATTATTATTTGTTGAACAAAATATCGGAGATGTAACTAAGATCTATTCAGATATGGCAAGATGACAAGATATCATGTTATATGTATCATATTTACACTTGTTCAGCTTTTATATGGCATGCAAAGTTGTGAGAAATTTGACAAATAATCAGATTTTTATGTAATATATACTTGTATTATCTAAATAATTAATAACATGTTTCATAAGAATTTCTCACCAATGCACAACAGAGTTGTTATTTCTTTGGTTTTGTACAAAGATAGTTACGACGTTATATATATACTTGTATTACCTTAATAATTAATATCTTATATGACATGGTTGAAATTCATACATTTAGAAGTATCAGTACCTTTATTCTCTCAACACATTGATTTTCTAGTTCACATTTACACTAGTATCACATGCCATTGATTTAGTTTCTTATATGAGGCTTATCTTTTTACAAAGTGATAAGACTCTTTTAGAGATAAAAGTAAATTCATCTTTGGGAAAAAAAACTTTACTTTTATGACAGAAACTTATTAAAATGTAGGAAATTCTTATTGAATTTGTCTAATTTGAGTAAGAGATATGTTTGGGAAGCTGCATTCCTTACTACTGGTAAATATAGTTAGATCCTCTGTTTAACCCTTTCGCTGCCAAAGGGTTATTCATTCATTGATCACGTATTTGCCAGAAGGTTTTCTAAGAAATTACTATATTATTAATTAATATTATTATTATTATTTGTTATTAGTATTATAATAATTATATATGTTTCCAAATCTACTAGTATAATAATAATTATTGTCAATGGTATAATTATCTATATATTTATTATGATTATTATTATTATAATTATTATTTTATTATTATAGAAACGGCAAAAGCCATTCATATGGCAAATACGCCGAAAATAATAGGGACGGCATATGCCTTCCCTATGGCAGTGAAAGGGTTAAAATAAATTACCCGTTTTTTCAATGACACTATGTTTTTATACTGTGTTTAATTAGTGCAGAGTTTAAAACATAAAATATCTTCTCTGTGTGTACTCAAAACTTGAAAAGTTGTTTGTTTTACATTTAAAAGAAAATGGTTTAGCAATTATCAGTATTTTTTCAAATATAAAATAAACGATAAAATACAAATCAAACATAATGTCCTTTATGTTCAACAATAATAAGATTATATTGAGCAATCTGACATACCTGTAATTGTATGAGGATAATAGTTCCAGGCTTTTTCTGTGATATAAAATATGGCTGGAATCATTGACCTGATCCAAGCTGGCAACTTGCTGTAATGTTACATAAATAAAACAAAAATTAATTATCATTTTCAGTCGAAAAAGGGGCATTATTTTGTTTACATCTATGACAGAGTTATGTCCTCTTGACTAGAAGTGGGGGTGAAAGTCACTTACAAATATTCAAAGTTTCAAAGCAATACCTCAAAGGGTATAGGAAATAAATTGTACAATTTAACTTTTTCCGTCTGTAAAATAAAAAATTAAGAAAGGAATATCATCTGATAAATTGAAAAAATCAAAGCTTTTAGAAATACTACTTCCTTTTGTCAAGGGATTAATAAACTAACAAGGTTTAACATCACATTGGATAAACAAGTCTACTTTATGTTTCCCAAGAAAGGTACAAGTAACAATAAATATGCTCAAATGAAAGTACACTTATAGAAGAAGGCACTTGTCAAATTGTAAAGCCCTCACAAGACATGGTACAGTGATTTTGTTTATCCTTTTTTAACTTGTACATTGTAATTGAAACCATTTACCTTAATATTTTCAACGAACCATTTATCTTCACAATTGCATAGTATAATATTACGCTATAATAGAGGGTGAATGCACCTTTTTTCATGCATTTACATCTGCAGATGCAGGAAGAGTTATTTAAAGCCAACCCCACAGAGTGTGGGAATTAATAAGACTGAGGTCTTCTGCAGACGTTAATGCATGAAAAATGTGCATTTGCACCAAACTTGCAGCATAGTTTGTAAAAGTTTTGTCAGTCATTCTGCATTTTCTAATCTAAAACAATTATGTCATGCTAGTGTGATGTCATTTGACAGTTGTGTTCTGATAATGAAATATACATGGCTGTCATTACAGTAAGCTATTTTTATATGGTACCCTGAGTCACTCATATTAGATGTGTTAACCTACCTTGATAAATGAACTCTTTTTTCTGTATATTGACCTTTACCATGTTCAGGATGCTCACAGGGTTCATTAGTAACAACTTCCACACCCTCACCTTTCTGACTTTGTTCATGACTATGCTTGGCTATCATAAACAACTGCCCTATCCGATACTGAAAATAAACAAATAACATAAACTAAATGGATAACAAGAATGACAATAGAATGCATTATAAATCTTTCACTAATGGACTACAATATAATAATGTTCTTAATTGTTACATCAACTTCCAGTTACTTTAGTTGTGAATAATTTTTGTACTAGACACGTCTTACTTTGAATTTCGGCAATCTCCTGGATTAGACCCCTATGTATTATTTCAAAAATAAAACTTGTATATAATACACTAAAGAAAACGAAATGAATCTTATATATACTCCTGGTTTAGACCCCGGGGTCTCTTCCAAGACATACCCTGTAGCCTGAATTTGGAACTTATGTTGTCAATGTAATAATTCAAATTGCAGATCTTTGAAATTTAAAATTTAAATTAAACAGAATAAAATGAGAATATATGAATCACTCTCTATACTTGTACATGTAGCATAGGCCTGACCTTTTTACAAATTATAAGCGAGTTGAAAAGTTATTTTGATTTTATAGCAAACTGTACTGTCAAAATCAGGCCAAAATTATATAAATCAACGTGAATATCATCCAGATTTTTTTTTTATCTATCAGACATTTTAGGAATTTTCCTTGTAAAAATGAATGCATTCTGCTGAATAGATGATTCTTGTCAAAGAACAAAATAAAATCAATGTTTTATACAAAAAAAACTCTCCGGTATAAATTCACTTTCCATATTATGTTCAAATGAATAAAGAGTCAGGACATGATATGAATCAGTGGTTTGATTCTCAAGAAAAAGAGGAAAAAAATAAATAGAATCAATACAAACACAGTCATGTAGCGATTACCCTTAAGAGACCTGCTAAATTGTATTTACACATGACAATAAGTAAGTATTATTTAACAAGAGATCTTCTGCTTTGTACTAATATAAAGATACATGATTGAATGACAGAATTAATAAATAAGAAAATGGATGAATGAATAAGAAAATAATCTGATGAATAAATGAATGAATGAATGAATGAATGAATGAATGAATGAATGAATGTGAATGAATGAACTGATTAATAACCTGACAGTCAAGGAAAATCAAAGATGAACTTCAAGTTCAAATTCTAAAAAGAAAAAATACAACTTTACACTTTACAGATCACTACCCTTCATTAATGATTGCTGCAGTTTGAAGTGCTATTCTTTATATCTGTAAGTAATTTGAAATTATATAAGATAAACAATCATATAAAAAATCTGTGTACAACAATTTATTTCCTCTTATGTCTCTCAGACTTATTTTTTTTATAATAAAACACATTATCTGAAAGTACAATTATTCAAATGACTTAGCAGTTTATCTAAAGTGTGAGAACTACATCGTGGCTTGCAGTTTCCTGTATAGAACTAAAGCTACAAATATATTCAGAGAAGATGGAGAAATCAATACAGACACTTATGACAATTTGTCTCCAGGAATGATTGCATTTATCTTTATTAATGACTTGGAAGAAACAATATGTTTTTTATATCAAAAACAACATTGTGAAAGCCATCTAGAGAAATAAGATCAAACAGTTTTAGGGAAAAGCTCAGCTATAGTGAGGAAATATCACAAGACGTCAATCCAATAATGTAATTGTCACTGATGAGAGAATATGTATGATCAATATTGGGCAATACAGTCATGTATGTTGTCAGAGTTCTGATTTGTAGCATGGCCTTCACAAGTTAAGCTTTTTTACTTGACCGTAAATTAACCATCTGAGAGGAGATACATACATTTTGCAAGTAGAATGCTGAAGTCTGGAAAATCTTGTCTTTTTTTTTCACAAAATATTATTTGATTCCAGAAAATATTTGTTTCTTATCAACCTTTCTTGAAATAAACTTTGGTTTAAATAATATACAATAACAAGAGGGCCATGATGGCCCTAGATCGCTCACCTGAATTATCAAACTCATCCAAACAATTACCTAGACAAGCATTCTGACCAAGTCTCATGACAGGTGAGTCAAAAATGTGACCACTACAGTGTTAACAAGGATTATCCATATTTGAGCAGTGCGACCTAGTTTTTTACCCAGGTGACACATATTCAAACTTGACCTAGAAATCATCAAAACAAACTTTCAGACCAATTTCCAGGATACTTGGATCAAAACAGTAGCAACTAGAGTGTTAACAAGATTTTTCTATTTTTAGCTCCGGTGACCTAGTTTCACATGCGATTTCGAACTCATCCAAGCAATTACCTAGACAAGCATTCTGACCAAGTTTGATGATAATGGAGTCGAAAATGTGACCACTAGAATGTTAACAAGGTTTTTCCATATTTGGGCGGTGTGACCTAGTTTTTCATCCAAGATGACCCATGATCGATCTTGACTTAGAAATCATCAAAACAAACTTTCAGACCAATTAACAGAATATTTGGATCACAACAGTAGCCACTAGAGTGTTAACAAGATTTTTCTATTTTTAGCTCCTGTGACCTAGTTTTTCATCCGAGATGTCCCATGTTCGATTTATTCCCAGCAATGACCTAGACAAGTTTCCTGACCAAGTTTGATGACAATTGAGTCAAACTTGTGACCACTAGAGTGTTAACAAGGTTTTTCTATTTTTAGCTCCTGTGACCTAGTTTTTCATCCGAGATGACCCATGTTCGAACTCATCCGAGTTATTACCTAGACAAGCATCTTGATCAAGTTTGATGATGATTGATGCAAAAATGTGACCGCTAAAGTGTTAACAAGGTTTTTCTATTTTTAGCTCCGGTGACCTACTTTTTCATCCGAGATGACCCATGTTCGAACTCATCCAAGCTATCAACTAGATAAGCATCCTGACCAAGTTTGATGATGATTGATGCAAAAATGTGACCGCTAGAGTGTTAACAAGGTTTTTCTATTTATAGCTCCGGTGACCTAGTTTTTCATCCGAGATGACCCATATTCGAACTCATCCGAGCTATTATCTAAACAAGCATCCTGACAAAGTTTGATGATGATTGGGTCAAAAATGTGACCACTAGAGTGGTCACAAGGTTTTTCTATTTTTAGCTCCTGTGACCTAGTTTTTCATCAGAGATGACCCATTTTCGAACTCATCCAAGCAATTGACTAGACAAGCATTCTGACCAAGTTTGATGATGATTGGTTCAAAAATGTGACCACTAGAGTGTTCACAAGGTTTTTCTATTTATAGCTCCTGTGACCTACTTTTTCATCCGAGATGACCCATGTTCGAACTCATCCAAGCTATCACCTAGACAAACATCCTGACCAAGTTTGATGAAGATTGGGTCAAAAATGTGACCTCTAGAGTGTTCACAAGGTTTTTCTATTTTTAGCTCTTGTGACCTAGTTTTTCATCTGAGATGACCCATGTTCGAACTCATCCGAGCTTTCAACTAGATAAGCATCCTGACCAAGTTTGATGATGATTGAGGCAAAAATGCGACCGCTAGAGTGTTCACAAGCAATTGTGGACGGCCGGACGGACGACGGACGACGGACATTCATCGATCCTAAAAGCTCACCCTGAGCAAGCTCAGGTGAGCTAAAAAGGTGTTCTTTTAACAAAATCAATTTAAAAGGTAATCATTATGATTTTTTCTCAAAACTCAGGCTTGCATAACAAAATAGTGAATTATCTCACATAAAATGACTGAGGCAGTCAAGCAAAACATCCTATTATCAATTAAACTGAAAGATGTTTATCAAGCATGGGAAAATGTTAAAATATTATATACTCCAGTTTATTTATATGAAAAACATATTTTGATCAGTTGTTTTTATAATTTTTTACTGATGAAAACCTTTACTGTGCTGAATATACACATATATATAAATACATGTACATGTGTATTATGAATTTGACCGCTTTTCCCATGAAAATTTGCCAATTATTATAAGGCTGAATTACAAGAAGCAGTATAAAGTTGTTTTTTGTTGTTGTTTTTTTGAGGCCCCAACTGGGTAACCCCACAGTATAAAGTTGTACTTTTATCTTTACTGGAAACATATTGGTTAAGTTATTATATTTGAATAGAGGTAAGAAGCGGCTTTTCCAGTCAAAACGAAGATTTAAGTGACAAAGAATCATTCCTGTATCCATAAGTTTTTACACCATTGAGTTTCCAAAAACTTTTGTTTAGGTCATATCTCTGGAGTCAGTCCACCTAACTGGCTTTCCTCAGGGGTAACTAACCACTAATTTCTTCATAAGAGACCAATGATTTCTTAACCAGCAGTGAGAGACAAAAGAGACACAGTGTTTGAGATGAATTTTTGTTTCATTTTATTTATTTTGCAATGTATCCAAGCATTGTATAAGCAAAACATGACTTGCCTAAGGACTGAACAAGATTTCAAAGACCCCTAGATTTCACTTTGTTGTACATTAAAAATATTTTAAATGTTTACTTTTTGTGAATGGAGGAGTGGGCTGGGGGAGGGGGTGGCAGTTGATTTTTTTTTCTAACTAAACATGGACATAAAGTGTAAAATGAATGTTTCAGAAAAATTGGCCCTATTTTAGACAATTGAAGTCACTAAATTCTAGTTAATTGCAGCTTGGACCCCTGCTGAGCTTCCTGTCATAAAACTCTGACAGCATAAACACTGCATGCCTTTAAGCAATTTGATAAAGACCCTTAGTTTATTTACTGGAAAATTAGAAACATCCACTTGAATGTGATAATGATATCGTCACCTTAGTGCAAGAACTCAATATCTGCTTCTTTATCTATATGCAGTTATTGAGTTTTTGCACTAAGGTGACGATATACTACTTGTAAGTAAGGCTCTCACATTTACAATTTTTTGTAAACGTTTACATGATTGCTAAAAATTGAAAAGAAACCGTTTAAACAGTGGTACTTTTATTTACTATGCTATACCATGTATTCGAATTGCCAAATGAGGAGTTACTTTCTATTAAATGCATACATGTACAAATAAATAATGTTCAGGGCTCATCGCAAGGGAGTCGGCACATATTTAATTTTTCTGCATTGTATCCCCATTTCACTCTTTTGAAAGATCAAAGGAAAATCAAATATGCCAAAAATGTATAAATTAATGTCACGAGCGATTATAATTGCATGGTGATGCTGTGTGGAGGGTTGCAAACACCCATTTTCTGTTTTTTTACGTATGGGAGTTAATCAGTTAGAATTGATAGAATTGTCAGGGTGTTCACTAGCCATGAAATCATGAGGGTCATTTGACTAAGTTTAACCGACTACAAGGCCAAATCCCCATGAACTTAACAAAATTTGACCCTCCAGTTAAAATTTTGACTGTCAAATCAGGCCTTTTGGAAATTTGAAGGGTCAAAGAGTCATTTCAAGGGTCAAACGGACACCCTGAATTGTCCTGATTTCGTTTAAACGGTAAAAGATATCATAAACATTTACGAATGAAAATTGAAACGAATACATTTAAACATGCAAGTTTATAAATAAAAAAAATAAATATTTAATGGGTTTGATAATGTTGACCCGGATAAATTTTTTGTGTTCAATGATAACTGTACACGTGGACATATATTCCAGCTATTTAAACCAAGTGTGAATAAAACACTAAGGAAAATTTCATTTAGATGCATTGACCAGTGGAATAATTTAGATGAAAACATTGTTCTCAGTGAAAGTGTTTTGACATTTAAAACTTTACTTGACCGGAGCTGGCAAAGTAAAAGATTTAATACAATTGACATTTACTGAAGTTATCTTGATAATACTGTATAGGAGGAGCTTACAAGCCATCTTGGCTTAAATGCTCAGAAGGAGAAGATAAAGGTAAATGAAAAAAAAAAAAAAAAAAAATAAATAAATAAAACTACCTATGATTAGATACCTGAAATTTCACAACAACGGCTCTTAGGTCTTATTTGAGCGCCAGCCTTTAAATCATTTAATGCGTTTAAACAAAAACGATTTTAAATTATTCCAAAATAAATTGTAAACTAGAAATCTACTAAATCACTAACCTCGTCAACTGTAAGAGGCATACAAATTCTATATTCCTTGAGATACATTTTGCAAACTTATATTCTGTGATGAAAAATACTTGTTGATCAACAGGCAACTACTGTCACTTTCTGTCAATAAAATCACATCCACCTAAATGTCAAATACTTGATCAATAATTTTCAGGTCGTTTCCTTGTTTTGGTTGGTAATTTGTGCTAGACTGGTTTGTAGAGAGTAGGTTTGGATGTCCGTTTGTGTGAAAAATAATTAGAAAAAATTCTGGAAACAAAGTGATCCCTCGGAAGCATTAATCACAACAAAATAACGTAAGAATTGCAGACTCGGTTTGATTGAGTCTGTACATGAGGGATAATGAGTAAGTGCAACATCCCTCACGCCCCCTAGCACCGGCTTGAGCGGTACTCAATTCTCAACACTTTATAGTGTTGGCATCAATGATCCCGAAGGACCAGAAAATATAACAACACTGAAGTGAAGTACGGGGCAACTTTTTACGGCTGCCACACTGCACTTGACACCTGCTGTTGTGAAGTACAAAATTCTGGAAACAAAGTGATCCCTCGGAAGCATTAATCACAACAAAATAACGTAAGAATTGCAGACTCGGTTTGATTGAGTCTGTACATGAGGGATAATGAGTAAGTGCAACATCCCTCACGCCCCCTAGCACCGGCTTGAGCGGTACTCAATTCTCAACACTTTATAGTGTTGGCATCAATGATCCCGAAGGACCAGAAAATATAACAACACTGAAGTGAAGTACGGGGCAACTTTTTACGGCTGCCACACTGCACTTGACACCTGCTGTTGTGAAGTACAAAATTCTGGAAACAAAGTGATCCCTCGGAAGCATTAATCACAACAAAATAACGTAAGAATTGCAGACTCGGCCTGATTGAGTCTGTACATGAGGGATAATGAATGAGTGCAACATCCCTCACGCGCCCCTGCACCGGCTTTAGCGGTACTCAATTCTCAACACTTAATAGTGCTGGCATCATTGATCCCGAAGGACCAGAAAAATATAACAACACTGAAGTGAAGCACGGGGCAACTTTTTACAGCTGCCACACAGCACTTGACACCTGCTGTTGTAAAGTATAAAAATCTGGAAACAAAGTGATCCCTCGGAAGCATTAATCACAACAAAATTACGTAAGAATTGCAGACTCGGCCTGATTGAGTCTGTACATGAGGGATAATGAATAAGTGAAACATCTTTCACGCCCCCTAGCACCGGCTTGAGCGGTACTCAATTCTCAACACTTTATAGTGTTGGCATCAATGATCCCGAAGGACCAGAAAATATAACAACACTGAAGTGAAGTACGGGGCAACTTTTTACGGCTGCCACACTGCACTTGACACCTGCTGTTGTGAAGTACAAAATTCTGGAAACAAAGTGATCCCTCGGAAGCATTAATCACAACAAAATAACGTAAGAATTGCAGACTCGGTTTTGATTGAGTCTGTACATGAGGGATAATGAGTAAGTGCAACATCCCTCACGCCCCCTAGCACCGGCTTGAGCGGTACTCAATTCTCAACACTTTATAGTGTTGGCATCAATGATCCCGAAGGACCAGAAAATATAACAACACTGAAGTGAAGTACGGGGCAACTTTTTACGGCTGCCACACTGCACTTGACACCTGCTGTTGTGAAGTACAAAATTCTGGAAACAAAGTGATCCCTCGGAAGCATTAATCACAACAAAATAACATAAGAATTGCAGACTCGGTTTGATTGAGTCTGTACATGAGGGATAATGAATAAGTGCAACATCCCTCACGCCCCCTAGCACCGGCTGAGCGGTACTCAATTCTCAACACTTTATAGTGTTGGCATCAATGATCCCGAAGGACCAGAAAATATAACAACACTGAAGTGAAGTACGGGGCAACTTTTTACGGCTGCCACACTGCACTTGACACCTGCTGTTGTGAAGTACAAAATTCTGGAAACAAAGTGATCCCTCGAAAGCTTTAATCACAATAAAATAACGTAAGAATTGCAGACTCGGTTTGATTGAGTCTGAACATGAGGGATAATGAATAAGTGCAACATCCCTCACGCCCCCTAGCACCGGCTTGAGCGGTACTCAATTCTCAACACTTTATAGTGTTGTCATCAATGATCACGAAGGACCAGAAAATATAACAACACTGAAGTGAAGTACGGGGCAACTTTTTACGGCTGCCACACTGCACTTGACACCTGCTGTTGTGAAGTACAAAATTCTGGAAACAAAGTGATCCCTCGGAAGCATTAATCACAACAAAATAACATAAGAATTGCAGACTCGGTTTGATTGAGTCTGTACATGAGGGATAATGAGTAAGTGCAACATCCCTCACGCCCCCTAGCACCGGCTTGAGCGGTACTCAATTCTCAACACTTTATAGTGTTGGCATCAATGATCCCGAAGGACCAGAAAATATAACAACACTGAAGTGAAGTACGGGGCAACTTTTTACGGCTGCCACACTGCACTTGACACCTGCTGTTGTGAAGTACAAAATTCTGGAAACAAAGTGATCCCTCGGAAGCATTAATCACAACAAAATAACGTAAGAATTGCAGACTCGGTTTGATTGAGTCTGTACATGAGGGATAATGAGTAAGTGCAACATCCCTCACGCCCCCTAGCACCGGCTGAGCGGTACTCAATTCTCAACACTTTATAGTGTTGGCATCAATGATCCCGAAGGACCAGAAAATATAACAACACTGAAGACCAGTCAATAGAATGGTAACCACATTATGATATTTTTCTTTTTTTGTTGATAAAATTAGAAATACAGTCAAGTTTTCAAAATGGCTGACACCGGCAGTGATGATCGTGTTCAAAAAATGGAAGTAGATTACAGCTCTACTGTTGATGAGAAGATACCGAAATGCGAAAAATTGGCAAAGGTTTTTACTGTTATTTTATAGTTTTTATATCATTTTCTATTTGAGTGCGAGTTTCTGGATAATAACACTTCAAGAAAATGACTTGTCATTCTCATGTATTTGTGAGTGGGTGGGGAAATTTGCGAAAACTTAACATCTACATACTGCTTCAAAATCGTTTACGATAACACTAAACAGGTATACATTGTATACATTGAATTGAGAGACAGCTATGCGTTACAAGGGAATCCGGGGACCAGTCCCTAGCTCTTATTGAAATTCAAAAATAGCTCCCTTGGTTGTCATCACGGTAATAGGACATTTCGGACCATGGACGTTTCGGACCAGACATTTCGGACCAGATTTTGGGACACTTCGGACCATATTTAGGGACATTTCGGACCAGATTTTTGGACATTTCGGACCATGTGTTGGACATTTCGGATCATGCGTTAGACATTTCGGACCATGTGTTGAACTTGGGATCATGTGTTAGACACTTCGGGCCATTATTTTGGGCGTTTCGGACCAGAATAAATATTTTTTTTCTATATTATGCATCAATTATTCTATAAACTAAAGTGTAACTTTAGAATATATGAGACACCATGGAACGATTTTACACCTATCCCGATTTAGATTTAATATATTTTGCACTATAAATGAAGAAAATTAAAAAACAAACAAACTTCGTTTTAATGACTCGTTTGCAAACAATTTATTGTAGAAAATACATTTTTATATTGCAGTCTGGACATCAATTTTTAGCTCGACTTTTCTATGAAAAGGGGAGCTATCCTACTCGCCCCGGCGTCGGCGTTAGCGTTAGCGTTGGGGTCACACCTTGGTTAAGTTTTTCGTACCACCCCACTTTATTTCAGAAGTATTACAAGTATGGCTTTGAAACTTACCATACTTGTTCACCATCATAACCTCCATCTACAGACAAGAGTACATAACTCTGTCAAGGTTTTTGACAGAATTATGGCCCTTTTTTGACTTAGAAAGTGTATTGAGCTTGGTTAAGTTTTTTGTACCACCTCACTTTATTTCAAAACCATTGGAGGTATTGCTTTGAAACTGACCATACTTGTTTACCATCACGACCTTCATCAACAGACAAGAGGACATAACTCTGTCAAGGTTTTTGACAGAATTATGCCCCTTTTTGACTTAGAAAATACATTGAATATGGGTAAAATCCACTTATTGCCTTAACCCTTTGAGATATTGCTTTGAAACTTTTAATGCTATTTCACATCATTACCCCATCTGTACGCAAGAGAAGGTAACTCTGTCAGGGATTTGTTTTAAAAATTAAGGCCTTTTATCGACTTAGAATCTTGGTTAAGTTTTTTGTACCAGTCAACTTTTTGACTGAACTGGTTGAGATATTAAATTGAAAGTTGGAATACTTGTTTACCATCATGGTCCCAAACATGGGCAGGAGAAGGTAATTCTGTTAAGGATTTTATTTGAATTATGGCCCTTTTTGACTTAGAAACTCAGTTAAAATTTTCATTCTTGTCCACTTGTTGACCTAACCATTTGAGATATTACTTTGGAAGTTGGAGTTCTTATGTGCCATCATGAGACCTATCTGTAAGCAAGAGAAGATAACTCTGTGAAAATGTTTCTTGATTTGTACTTAGAAATTCCTAGTTAAAGTCTTGTGTGCCCTTAACTGTCAAAGTTTTGTTTTATAGGCAAGCACTAAAAAAGTCGAGCGCGCTGTCCTTCTGACAGCTCTTGTTTACAATTATAATCATTTTGTTTAATGATGATTAAAACTGTACTTTAATAGCATTCACATCAATTTCAATATTTGTTGTCAAATTAGGTGAAAATTGCATACAGTACTGGACATGCGAAACCCGCAAAAGTCGCGTTATGCCGCGAGTGTAGTCTATGTCGCGACAGGTCACTACGCGGTAAAACATCGCCGCGTGCAAGTTCGCCGAATTTCATTGCGGTTCACGAAAAATCGCCGCGATGTATCGCCGTAATTTACGGCGAATCTTCAGCAAGAATTGTATTAGAAAGTACTACTTGGTCATTCCCGTGGTCTTTAATTTCTAAAACTTTAAAAAAATCTTGTAAATGCCATGTATATTTATAAATATTTAGCATTTGAACATGTACAGCGTATACATTTTGTATACTAAAACAAAGCAATCAGGTGCTGGTGAAAATTAGTTAACAATAAAACGAGATTGAAATTACAAAAGGTAATTGGTACTACATCAAAGAACGCACGATAACAAATTGTCCAATTGTTATTTTGATAATAATACAAATGTAATTAAAATCCATTGTTTACTTTCGCACATATTCTATTTTTAGAACAATGCAAAGCGACATTTAGCACCGATTCACAGGTGTAACTAATTATTACGTCTAATACGCTAATTATGATTGTTGAAAATTGTAAAAGTTTTATCACTTAAATTGAGACATTCTTTACCTTCAATTTCACTAGTAAAAAATGCCATTCATGAGGGCATTCTGTGCATAAAATTAGGGTGTTACTATTTAAAGTATTTACATAAATAGCGACCAACCAGGGAAGGATATTTTCCTTACGTCACGCAGTACTGCATGCGCGCGGCAATTAAGTTGAATTAACTAATAATAGCACGTATCAAATTAAGGTGTGGAAACGGGATTAAAAATTTTTTTGTTCAATTAATGAATATTTGTAAAGCATTTATATGGTCACTAGTTTACCATGTGGTAATTTTAATGTGCTTTGGGGTACATGTTCGTTTGTTTATGACTGACGACACAGATTAAATACTAAGCCCATGCAATAAAACATTTCTGGTAGCAGCGGGGATTCTGTCATAAAATTGACCGAAAAAATAAATTTTTGGAAGCTGTGGTCCTTTCATATGCATTATTGTTTTGATAGCAGACACAAGTATTGCACAATATCTTCAAGATCATAAAAATGTAAATAAAATATCACAATCAAAATGCACTTACGATTAATAATATGTCAATAATTGACACAATCAATATCCAACATTTTTTTTTACTTGAGCAATAATTAAACATGTGTAATCATTCCTTGACAAAAAGAAATGACAGTTTTTTTCTGATATATAAAAAAGAGGTGGAAGTCAATCGAGTGTCGGCATTTCTTTGATGATTCGGCAACAACTACAGGTGTGTAAACATCAAAGATTCACAGATTCTTCAGAAGAGCCGACCAGTCATTTGTCAGAAGTCATTTCGTGTGTAAATTTTGTATTTATTATTTTACAATGGAAACATTATATTCCTTTTATTTATGGATGCTTCTTTTTGCGCGAGTGTTTTTGTGTCTTTTAGCGCTATGGAATTTCAACAATCGGCGATAATTTTCGGTAACTAACAATTAAATATTTTAACATTTTTAAAACAGGGGTGCAAATATCCGCCATTCAGAAATTATAGGAGACAAATCTTGCGTGTGTTATTTTTTACAGACGTGTAATAAATTGAGTAATGATCACCCGAGAGAACGAAATGTCCCGGTGATCCACTATAACTCTTCCAGGTCGTACGGGAATATTTACGCAGGATTAGTTTATCACATCGGTAATTTGACCATGCTTGAATTTATGTCTTATGTAACGTTTTCAATATGGGGATACATTTAGAAATGAACAAGTTAATGTCGTATCAATTATGTATCTTTTTATGTAACTAAATATCTTTTTACACATACACATGTGTATATTATATTTATATCTCTACTTTAAACTCAATATGTATCCCCCCTAAAAAATATTTTTACACGTGTACATGTACACTATTTACCTGCCGATGGAGCCGCATACTTGTACTGCGTCGCATTTATACATTGAGGTCATGATTCCGCCATTCACGGAAAGTTTTTAACGGTGTTATTTGATTTCGCCGTGGTTATTTATATTTGCTGTTGGCATCAAAGATAAATAGAGAAAGGGCATTTTAGCAAATTACAAGATTTTCTTGATACAACTTCATGTAGATCTACTAATTAATTTTCGTACTTGTACATGTATATCTGGTTTCAAGTTCACAGAGTACAATTATAAATAGATCTACATTTATTATACAAATGAACATGTATTATTCCCCGCGAATCACGGCAAATGTTCACGGCAAAATCGCCGCGAGTTGAATTCGCGGCAATTGTCTCAAGTTGCCGCGAATTCGCTCGCGTTATAAAGCATGAGAGTTCGCCGCGAATACGCGAATTGTGCGGGTTTCGCGTGTCCAGTACTGTACATATACTTCTTTAATTGAGTGAAACGTAACTTAAACAAGTTCTATTCAGCAATTAAAATGTGTGAAAAACTGCATTGACAAGGATGTCGTTGTTCTTTAATACCTGCTAGAACACGATTTAATTTGGTTAAAATTGACGGACAGGTCATTACTGCATGCATTTTGAATATCATAAAATATAAAATTGTCAAATATTTGTTGCATTTATTATTAGAAAATATATTAAATACATCCTGAAATAACAAATAATTACATATAAAAAGGAATATAATTATGACCTGGACCGAAGTGTCTCCATCATGGTCCGAAATGACCATCACATGGTCCGAAATGTCCAAAAATCTGGTCCGAAATGACCAAAAAATCTGGTCCGAAGTGTCTGGTCCGAAACGTCCGTGGTCCGAGATGTCCGTAATTCGTCATCACTTATCTCACGGTAATGGCATATTTTCATGTGACCAGTGTTATAATTGGTCAGAATTGACATATTTTATTCAAACACCTTAACAACAAAGTTTTTGTGCAAAATAATTTAAATCTATAGATTTTTACGTAAAACTGAACAACATTTTACAAACTTCTGCAAAAAACAACAATAGTCCTTAATTTGTGCATACGTCTGAAACAATCATCATTTTCTAAATGTTCTTGTTTGTTGAAAAAATAAATTTTGAGTTACAATGTAAAAATATTTTTGATATTTAAAATTATGTAAAATAACTTAGAGAAATTTTAACTGAAACATGAAAAACTGAAATGAAACACCATTACCGCGAGGTAAATGATGACATACTGTTTTCAAAATGGCCGACACACGGTTTACATCTGACAAATTAAAACTAATTTTGATTGAATATATTGTTGTTTCCTTGTGTCATATAGCAGAAAAATGACTAAATAATACAGTTTATGACCGTTTTTGTAGTGTAAGTTTATTGTTTGTGTTCTTTACTGTTTTAAAGTGTTAAGTACCGTGAACTAAGAGGAGCACAGTATACATGCCCAGTGTATAGGAAAAGAGTCAACTCGGCCCTACACCATCTCGGCACGGGTCAACTCGGCAAGGGTCAACTCGGCCCACTTTACAAAATATATATAATAGTTGACTGTTGGTCTTATCACATGATTTAACAATTGAAATAAAAGTCAGTATTTGCAAATATATTTTACCCAGCTTCATTTCTATCAAATCCATGCATTATTTTAGATTTTCTTTCCTTTCTTTTACTTTTTTTGAGACGACTAAAATGTTTACTTTCGGTAGAGCGCCCTCTATCTGGAAAAGAGTCAACTAGGCCCTACACCATCTCGGAACGGGTCAACTCGGCACGGGTCAACTCAGCCCACTTTACAAAATATATATACGGTAATATGAAATTAGGTGCTACCTATGGTGCGGAAAGCTCTTATGATTTAAGCATAACATGTTTAGTGTACATGTTAACCAGATCTATAATGCAATTCGTTAATAAGTAAATTCAGGTATTTTGTACCGTAAACAGAAACGAATAAATTGGTGGTGTTCAACCTATCATCGGAAGAGGGACCACTGCGCATGCGTCGGCGTTTGGAAAATCCCGTCCGCCATTTTCTGTTAATCTCTAATCACATATGTTGTTTTTACGTTATTTTTAATGTGCTAATTTATCAAAAAGGATTTAAAAGTAACTTTTTACATTAATCATTGTTACTACAGTTCTTATGAATGAAATGAATGTTTATTTTCTGATTTTGTACATCAATCTTTCACCGGAAGTGTTATTAAGCATGCGTCTGCTAGCAATAGTCTGAATGATGTAGACGCTCATTAAAAGCGCTGTGATATCTATATTTAGCTCAAATGATTTCAAAATGGCGGCGCCCAGTTAACTAAGGATTTTTTCACATCTCATTAGGTATAGGATATATATTTTTTTGAAAATTTTCATTTACTTTTAATTTGAATTGATACGCGTCATACATGTTATCTAATAGCGCTTAGCAGCCCTCGCGGGGCCTTTGGCCCCGCTCGGACTTTCCACTTATAAAGTGTACATTTTGGAACATACAATCTGGGACTAAAAAATATTATTTAAAGTCCCAGATACAATTGTTGTTCTGACATTTCAAACTAAACACTGCTGGTGCTTTTATATTGTGACATGTAAAATGTATAACAATACTAATATGAAATTAGGTGCTACCTATGGCGCGGAAAGCTCTTATGAATTATGATTTGAGCATAACATGTTTAGTGTACATGTAAACCAGATCATTCTTGCAGGTATTTTTTACCGTAAATTGGTGGCGTTCAACCTATCGTCGGAGCGCTCGGAATATTCTGAAAATCTCTAAAGGGGGACCACCGTTTGGAAATCTTGTCCGCCATTTTTTGTTAAATCTATAATCACAGTTGTTGTTTTAAAGTTTTTTTTAATGTGCTAATTTAGCAAAAATGATATTTAAAATAACACTTTTTTATATTAATAATCATTACATTAGTTCTTATCAATGAAATGCATGTTTACTTTCTGATTTTGCACATCATTCTCTCACCGGAAGTGTAATTTTGCAGACGCTAGCAATAGTCTAAATTATGTAGACGCTCATTAAAAGTGCTCTGATATCTATACTTAGCTCAAAAGGATTTCAAAATGGCGGCGCCCATTAACTAAGGATTTTTTCAAACCTCATTAGGTATAGGATATATATTTTTTTTGAAATTTTCATTAACTTTTAATTTGATTTTATTTTAATTGATACGCGTCATACATGTTATCTAAGAGCGCTACAGCCCTCGCGGGGCCTTTGGCCCCGCTCTGACTTTCCGCGTATTAACTTTGCTTTGCATGTTGTTAAGGTAAATGAATAATAAGAAATATCTGATCATCTATAATTGTACTTCTGTCGAAATAAAGTATATTTAGAAAAAAATGTTATTTATTTGTCTTGTAGATTCGATAAAATTAATATAGATCTAATAAAAATGTGTTTCCTTAGATGCATTTTGTTTGTAAGTAACATTCAAAAAAATATGAAACAAAAACGTGTTTACTTAATATCATTAGCTTCTATATATTAGCACTGTTTGCTCTTTGTTATATTTATAAACTCTCTCTGTCTCCACAGTCTCTTTATGAACTACGTTAATAACCGAGGTAAATCGAGTGAAAAAACAAGAGTTGTTTCCCTTAGTTTCACTAATGCAAATTTAGTCGTGTTTAAATCGCTAGTGCGATTTAATGTTCGATTTTAAAATTTATTACATTTATTAAAAGCTGGTGATCTTAGCTTCCTCTCAGTATATATTTCAACACATTGTTTGACACTGAAGGTATTTAAATTTACGGTTAAACCTACCAGGAGTCAGAAATACAGTGAGATACTCAATCGGTCATCTTTACTCACAATTCTACTGATAAGAAAAGCATGTCTGCTGCTAGTTCGGAAACTCTCAATCCGTGTATTATTAATGATTACAATAATTACAATAAATAGTGATAACACAAACCTAAATATTAATAATTGAAAAGTGGGCCGAGTTGACCCATGCCGAGTTGGAATAGGGCCGAGCTGACTCGGGGGCCGAGTACGTTTAAGGGCCGAGCTGACCCGGATTCCAGTGTATAGCACTGCATGATACATGCGAGGATTACCTGGATTCCTTACCACCCCTCAATACACTTCACCCCCCAAAATTAGTAAGACACTTCACCCCACATCCATTTTTAGCTCGACTATTCGAAGAATATGAGAGCTATTGTAGTCGCCCCGGCGTCGGCGTCCGCGTCGGCGTCTGCGTTGGTTAAAGTTTTTTGTAAAGTCAAATATCTCAATTATTACTTGAGATATTCAATTGAAACTTACAATACTTATTTATAGTAACAAGGTACATCAGATTGACAAGTTGGATAACTCTGCCTACAATATTGACAGAATTATGCCCCTTTTTAACTTAGAAATTTTGGTTAAAGTTTTTTGTAAAGTCAAATATCTCAATTATTGCTTGAGATATTCAATTGAAACTTACAATACTTATTTATAGTAACAAGGTACATCAGATTGACAAGTTGGATAACTCTGCCTACAATATTGACAGAATAATGCCCCTTTTTAACTTAGAAATTTCGGTTAAAGTTTTTTGTAAAGTCAAATATCTCAATTATTGCTTGAGATATTCAATTGAAACTTACAATACTTATTTATAGTAACAATGTACATCAGATTGACAAGTTGGATAACTCTGCCTACCATATTGACAGAATTATGCCCCTTTGGAACTTAGAAATTTTGGTTAAAGTTTTTTGTAAAGTCAAATATCTCAATTATTGCTTGAGATAATCAATTGAAATTTAAAATACTTATTTTATAGTAACAATGTACATCAGTTTGCAAAATTGCATAACTCTATCTGCAATATTTGCAGAATTATTTACCCCTTTGAAACTTAGAAATTTTTGGTTAAAGGTTAACGGTCTTCAAAGATATTACTTGAAAACTTTACACATCACTTAGGGTCATAATTGGAGGGTCATAATTGTATGTCACTGACCAAGTTCCATAACTCTATCTTGCATTAAGGCTGATTCATATCCCCTTTTCTACTTAGTCTCTTGGTTAATGTTTACATGCAAGTTTTACATATCTCAATAACTATTAAAGATATTTATTTAAAACTTCACATATGCATTTAGGGTCATAATTGTAGGTCACTGACAAAGATCCATAATTCTTATCTTGCATTTAGGCTGATTTTTCTCCCCTTTTTCAACTTAAAAATTCATGATAAAGTTTTGCTTGTAAGCTGTTATCTCAATAACTACTGAAGGGTTTGTGCCTTTTTTTGGACAATTTTATGCATTCATAATAATAAAGTAGTGATTTACTTGATAAAACATCTTAATAACAAGCCTTTGTACCTTTTCTGTCAAATTAATGTATTCATAGGTAATTAGTATTATTATACTCAATAAAAAACCCTTGTGACATTACCTTCCGAATAGTCAACCCAATTCTGTATAATTAGACTCTCTCTAAGGCCTATAACATGAATTTATAAAAAAAAATTAGCCCTTTTGTGAACTTAAAAAATTTAACAATATCAAGGCTCTTTTACTATCAAGCACTTAGAATAGTCGAGCATGCTGTCCTACAGACAGCTCTTGTTTTCTATAAAGTTAAGTAAATAAGTCAACAACATAATGCTTTTATATGTTTATTTTAATTATTTCTAGTATTATTTGATTAAAAAATTATTTCACAGCGCTTAATGAGCGTCTACATAATTCAGACTTTTGCTAGCAGACACTTGCTAAATAACACTTTCGGTGAAAGAATGATGTACAAAATCAGAAAGTAAACATATATTTCATTGATAAGAACTATAGTAACAATTATAAATATAAAAAGTTACTTTAACACATCATGCACAGTGGCACCCCTTTATGTCTGAGATTTTCAGTATATTCCAAGACTTTGAGCTGTTCATGAACAAGAATTACATTTTACAAAATAATTAAACTATCACATCTGTAAAAACTAAAATAATGTTTAAATCCTTTAATTAACTTAGATTTAACTACATGCATGTAGAGTACATTATCTTGTTAGAAGTTTTTTACAAGAAAGAATCATTTAGTATAGAAAAAAGTGTATGATTTTGTTCAGTATATTTACTGTAATATATTTTCCTAATATTATTGACATATTTCTTTTATATTTGCAGCAAGGGAAATTAACGGAGGCCCTGGATATTTTGCTCATCCTTGAAAAACAGACAAGAACTGTAAGTAGCTTGTCATAATTAAAGAAATGTAAATAATAATGTTTTAAATATCTAAAGTCTAGAATATAACTTTTTGCACTTGAAATTTTTTTGTGAGTACCCAAAATTTCAATTGTAAAGCCAAACTGAACATGCGTTTTTTTTAGCAGCATTTTACATGATTCATTAATTTGTGATTGGTTTTTTTATATACATGTATATTAGTTTGCCAGTTTTCACAAATAAAGACAACATTTATAAGATTCTTTTCACTGGCGTTTAATTTGAGTCTTGACTTATAATTTAATGAAATGTAACTTGTAGGTCAGTAAACATATTGAATAAATTAATATTTTGGATAGTCTTGTAGTTCTCTTACTTGAAAACTTTCCTAAGGTAACAAACAGACAAGTTCTTTACAATTTCCACTGATATGACTGACTAATTTAGTTTTTAAGCCACAGAAGTGTGCATGTGAGGGAATTCTCTCCCAGTTGTATGAAGTGTTTTTTATGCCCCCGGGCACATAGTAATTGAACCGTCTGTCTGTCCGTCCATCCGTACGAGGTTCACCTAGAACGGCAAATTGGATTTTTCCTAAGTTCTACCTGTACCAATGGCTTCATAATTTACACACTTACTAATCCATACAAAGTATATGATCTGGGCAAGTTACATAACTATGGCTTCCATTTGCACCAAGTTATGGCCCTTTTCAGCACTTAGAAAATGAATAATGGTTAACCTAAACCGGCAAGTTGGAAATATCTTATGTTCTGTCTGAACTAATGGCTTAATAATTTTCACACTAACTTATCAATACAATGTGCATGATATTGCCAAGTTATATAAATGTGCCATCCATTTTCCCAGTAATTTCCCTTTTTATCACTTTGAAAATAGGGCCTTGTATGGTTAACCTATTCCGCCAAGTTGGATTTATCAAAAAATTTCACCTAATTACTTAATTTATTTAATGATATCTTTCATATTTGGTAGGTGGATACCTTTAACAGTCCTCTAATTTTTTCTAGCGTTAGGCGTCTCTAGGTCAAGGTCACTTGTGTAAAATAATAAATCTAAACATTTCTGCTCATGCAGCCTTTATTTTTAAGTTAATGTCTTTCATGTTTATAATAGTCATACCATTGGGAGGTCCTCTTCCTTTTCCTTTAGTAAGGGGTCATTTGGGTCAAGGTCACCAATGTCAAAAATAGATTTTTTACACTTTTACAGGTGTATTAACCTTATTCTATCAACAGATTTCTTGTATATTTTGTAGGAACATAAAATTGAATTATTCTCATTTGGATGGAGGTAGGGGTCAGTTGGGTCAAGGTCACCAGTGATAAAAATAGATTTTTACACTTTTGCTCATTATAAACAGCCTTTATTTATTGACAGATTTGTTATATAATTGGTAAGAAGATAACTTACATGGACGGTATTCTTCCTTTGGATGGAGTTAGGGGTCAGTTGGGTCAAAGTCAACAGTGCTAAAAATAGATTTTTACACTTTTGCCTATAAAGCCTTTATATATTGACAGATTTATTTCATATTTGGTAGGAAAATAAGTTGCATGATATTCATCCTTTGGATGGAGTTAGGGGTCAGTTGGGTCAAGGTCACCAGTGCTAAAAATAGATTTTTTACACTTTTGCCCATACAGCCTTTATTTTAAATATTGTTACTGACAAGAATCTGAGCCAGGGGCATTTGTGTTTAACAAACACGTTCTTGTTTTTATTAATAAGACAAAGTTTATACATGTAGCACATCTTAGTTATAGGCATGTCGATAAAAAAAATGACTCTTTCTAACAGTTTACCATTCTTATTTTAGATATGTGATAAATAGAATATTATATTTGTGTAGATTCAATACTAAATTAAATCAACTTGTCCAATTAAACAATATTATGCTTGTCAGAGGCTGGCACATTTTGATTTTATTCAACTTATTCAATAAATTTAGTACTAAAGAAACACTCATTCAATATCCTCTATTTATTTACCTTTAACTTTTAAATGATAGATCATGATGAGAGAGAAAATAAAAATCATCTGTTTTCTATGTAACATTTGCTTGTTTCTTTTTTTTTTCATCACCTTTCTTTGATATTGTGTTAGTAGTCAGTTCAAGTTTATTTGTAATAAAATACATTTTTTCAGGGAGCAGACACCCATTCCTTGAGTAAAGTACTAGAAACAGTGGTAAGATTATGTTTCGAGACAAAAAGTTGGGATGCCCTCAATGAGAATATTGTTCTACTGACAAAGAAAAGAGGACAGATCAAACAGGTTTGTGTTATACTTCTTATCAACTGACTTTGATAGTGAGCAGTTATATTACTCAAACTATTTAGGTGGCTTCTTCTTTACCCATATCCAGTTAGGAAGATTTTGCGTATCCAGTAAGGAAGCTTTAGCCTATTAAAGCTTCATTTTATAAATTTCACAAAAACAGAAATAATAAGCTACAATTTGTTAATAAAATGGGTTACATATGGGCTGTCATTCTTATTATAGCGTCAAGATAGCCAAAATGAGTAATATAGGCGTTTCTGTTTGCAAGAGAAACTCCACTTCTGGGTAATCCAAACATCAAAGAAAATCAACAAACATAGCTTGTTTGCATTTATATTTATGCATATAATGACGTTTTCATACAAACTTTATGAAATGAATATTTTATTGACAGACTTAGTGCACCATAAAGCTGACAGCAAAATATTTTTACATATTTGAAAAAGCAGCTTTAAAATTCATGTCAAGCCACCTTAGGCTTTGTCCATTATATAAGTTTTCATTTGACATAAACAACACAGTAAATATAATATTGAATGTTAAATATTGTGTTTAATTTTCAGTCAGTCACAAAAATGATACAGGAGGCCTGTTCGTATGTTGAGAAGACACCAAATCTTGACACCAAACTCAAGTTAATTGATACACTCAGAACAGTGACTGCTGGAAAGGTAAGATCGTCATCAGTTACACTACAAGTGCCACTAAAAAGCTAATAAATCTTTGTCATATTAGTATCTGACCAGTATAGAGCTAGACTTACATTGTTTCAGTCTTTCCAGCCTGTACACTGTTGGTTTTATTTTGAAATTGAAATCTCTTAAATAACAAATGGACTATTTCCAAATTGAAAGCAAGACATTTCCGTTGCACAATTTCTACATCATGGTATGGTTTAATCAGTAATCTGCAGTACTGGGTTTTTATTTAAACAACACATGATAGTCACTTATTAGCCAACTGAATTAGTATTTAGAATTTATATAATAACTTATAAGCATGTTTGCTTGCAAATATCTTGCATTGTTTTAAATCTGTTATTCCATTATGATAAAATACATTTGTCAAGTGTATATATTTTATAAATAATGATAATACCTTACAAAGTACAGAACTAAATTTGAAGAATTTCTTTATATTATTTTAAAAATAGTATTCTTATGTCTATCGTACTGTAGAATATTTATTTCTGGTGTACTACAGATCTATGTTGAGATTGAACGAGCTCGACTCACCAGAACTCTTGCTAAAATAAGGGAGGATGCTGGGAAAATTGCAGAGGCAGCTGATATACTCCAGGAACTTCAGGTCAGTTAATCAAACTGTTATTGTTTATCTATATGTATTGCTTGCCACTCATATACATACTGGCAAATAAGCAGTTCTTTGTTTTAAAGCTTGTTTATAGTATATTGACTGCTTCTCAAGAAGTTTTTGTTGACTCATTGTATACATGTGCATTAATTTGCATTGAATTATATAGAAGTTAATGCTCCTTAGGATTAGCCAACAATGTTATATAATAATAATACAGCTTGATTGCTTCTCAAAAAATGAAATTCAGATGATGTTAGATATACAAATATTAAATATACATATAACATTGTTGTTAATATTTTATTGAGAGTTTAAGATTAAGAAGATTCAGTTCTTTGAAGACTCAGTGAAAGAGATCACTGAGCATTGAAAGTTTCAAGTTGGCTCTTAGTTTCAAGTTGGCTCTTTTGATATAAAAAAGAATTATTAAATATTGAATTTACCTTGAGTGTTTGATTGGCTAAGGTATAACATTTTTGAGTCTTTAGGTAAATGTTCATAAATCAGAAACTTTTTTCGGTGTTTTGGTAAAAAAATATTTGAATTCAGGTATCAGGTATCTTTTTAACACGAGACTGAACGTGAATATATTGTATATTTGCAGGTTGAAACATTTGGTTCAATGGAGAAGAAAGAGAAAGTGGAGTTTATATTAGAACAGATGAGACTTTGTATTGCTAAGAAAGATTATATACGTACACAGATCATTAGCAAGAAAATCAACACCAAATTCTTTGATGATCCAGGGACCACAGTAAGATAACAGGGTTGTTACAGTTAATGAATGCAAAAGTTTCTTGTACAATCAAAGTGTCACAAAATGTTTGATCAACATTTTAAATTGTTTGTTTTGTAGGACATTTATTCTAAATGCAGTAAAACAGACCACAAGTCATCTTTCTGATACTGGTCAAAGCTTTGTTTATATTTATGAAAGTGAAATTTCATCATTCATGAAATTCCAGGGAAACAATGAATTTCCTTCAAGATACCTTGAATGATACAATTATGTAGATGATCTGAATGATACAGTTCTGAAGAAATTGATCTGAATTATACTGTAATATGAAGATGATCTGAATGATATAGTTATTTAGATGATCTGAATTATAAAGTAATTTAAATGATGATCTGAATTATACAGTAATGTAGAAAATGATTCTGAATTATACTGTAATATGAAATGATCTGAATGATACAGTAATGTAGATAATGATCTGAATAATATATTAATGAAGAGATGGATCTGAATGAA